TAAACCGACCAGTAGCATTCCCCCTACTAGTGTGGTAAGATACAAAATATGTCCATCTTTTTGATGGATTAATCGTGTGATTAAAGGGTTAATAATAATTATTATCATTCTCTATAGCATCACTACATTCAGGATAAAGTATTTATCGGTTTAGATGATGTTGATAACTCGTTTGGACTATTGGACAGACTCCAGGGACCAGATGTAAGATATAATGTGCACGCACTGTCTTCAACTTGTACAAATGTATATTAATTGACGTCCTTATGCTGTGTAGCAAGTTTGAGCTGATTCCGACTTAAATTTTTCAAGTTACGGCCATTTAAGAAAACGCCAAAAATCTGAAAAATACCCAAGGCTATAGCCCATAGTTTTTTCCAAAAAATGGCTGAAAAATGACCCCAAATTTTTATTGCATTTTCCAATACATATTGATGTCCTTATGCTGTTTAGAAAGTTTGAGCTGATTCCAACTTCAATTTTTCAAGTTTCATGTACCCAGTGTTACTAATAATACCCTCCTTTAGGGATCCTATTTAAGTCACATAACTAGTACTACCGGAGCTAAAGTCTTTTTGAGAGGGAAAGGATCCAAGTATATTGAACCAACCTCAGGGAAGGAATCCTTTGAAGCTCTTTATTTATTTATTAGGTAACGAATAATAAGAACAATAATAACAACAATTAATTAATATTAATATTATTTATTTTAGTCATCCTAGTTCTGATGGAGTGATGTCCGCTAGAAAACTTTGTGAAAACCTTATTGAACATGTACGTACAATTTCTAATTAAACGTACATGTAATTCTTAATCACATGTACATGTATAGGTCAAGTCAGATTACGATGCTTTTATGATGTCGAAAATTCGAAACCCTTACAATCAACCACACCCACAAGCTCACCTCTACCCACCTCATGGTATTTATTATTAATTAATTAAATATATAATTAATTATTTATTAGGTTATGCTCTGCCCCCTCATCCACCGCCCACACATCCTAATTATCATCCAGTTCCTCCTCCACATCATCACGGACATTTTATGGTTAATTAAATAATTATTAATTAATTTATAATTATTTATTTATTTTAGGAGCATTACAATCCATCAATTCCAGGCCCTCAGCCCCGCCCATTATTAATGCCGCAGTTAGCTCCACCTACTTCCTTTGTCTCACCCCCTCAGGTGATAATTCCATAATCTGACGGAAACCAACTTCAATCAAATCTCCTCCTCTTTTACCATATAAGGCTATAGCACACACCCCCAATCATTTTCCGCAGGTTGTTCCTGATAATTATATTCATGAGCCACTCCCACCTCATTATTACGGGAGCGGTCCCTGTCAGCCATTAATGGGCGGTACCCTACCTTCGTCTCA